CAGAGTACAACCATACATGCGAGAGTGACAAGCGATCGTCATATATATGAATGGTTAAAACCCTCATCAACAGTATACACTCAAAGAAAATAAAGTATCTTATATGTCACACCAAACCTATACTAACAACTGCYCCTAGGATAYATGTCAGATCTGTGTCTCGAAGGTCAGGGCGTAGGCTACCTAAATATGTATACGCCTCATCTAAGTCATCCTGACCCTCAAAACCCCAACTTAGTATAAACACTAGAGTTCAGATCTAGATTAATAGTAATCATCAAAATGTCCTCTAAGTCTAAAAAGGTATCACACAGAACCCAAGTTGATGCCTCTCAAAATACTCGCTCATTTATATAGACAAGACCGATCCTACCTCCTCAATTCTTCCTGGTTTTGTCTATATAACTGAGCCCTAAGTCCATCCGCGGACTTCTCTACTATCTTACCCTGTCTATCATACATTTTACCCCCTACCTCTGAGACTTTCCCTGCTGCCTTATCCTCAAGAAACTCGAGACAGTCCAAAGCCAGATGCACGTTCCTCTTACAGTAGAAACATAGCTGATCTACTTTTCTCTTAAACTTCCTTTTTCTGGGCTGAGGAGATGGCGATGAAGGAGATCCTACCAAGGTACTAACAACCTCCTGTCGCTCCGYCCCAGGAACCGGTCCCCCAGACCCAGATCCAGTAGCCCAAGATCCTAGTCTGCTTCTCAATTCCTCTGTTGCCGGGACGTACTCAGGCGTGTCCAACCTCTGAGGTCTCCTCTCGAGTGTCCCTCCTGGCACTGCCGTGGGCTGCTCCTCAATTTCCTCTGACCCATACTCTGGTGTGCCCAACCTCYGAAGTCTGCTCTCTACGGCACCCTCCGCCTTAATCCCCAGCTCTCTCTCAAGAGGCTCCTCCATCCTCTGCTCAGGTGAAAACAAACTCACCTCCTCCTGCATATCATGCACCGCCTCAAGGAGCACGCCCATAGATCCCTCTGCTGAGCCCTGAGCCGGCTCACTGCCAGATGGTGGCAGCCCCTCYTCTACTGCCAAAGGTACGACTGGGCCTGCCGCCGCTACTGGCAGCGTCGCAAGCTCAGTAGGGGCTCTAAACTCGAACGCTTCTCTCTCTGCCTGTCTTTGGGTTCTCGCCTCCTCTGGCTCCAGGATAGCTCTCCCCATAGGTGGCTCCTGGCGAGGCTCCGCCGCAGGTGGCTGTCCTGGTAATCCCTGTCCCTGCATGAACCACTCAAACGCGGGGATGAAGTCCGACGCATTTCCAATCTCCAAGCGGATCGGCCT